CCACCTTCTTCTAAGCAAATGCACACTTAGACTTCTTCACATAGAGTTGGTGTTTCCTTAATACCTCTAGTACAGTCCTTAAATGTTGTATATGAGCATCTAGTGTAGGACTATATACTAGAATATCGTCAAAAAAAACCAATACAAATCTCCTCAAGTAGGGTTGGAATACCTGGTTTATCAGTGACTGAAATGTTGCTGGTGCATTGGTGAGTCCAAAAGGCATGACCAGGAACTCAAAATGTCCACAGTGAGTTTGAAAAGCTGTCTTGAAAGTATCCTGAAGCTTAACTCTGATCTGATGGTTTCCTGCTGTGAGATCCAGCTTAGTTTTATAGACAGAACCAGCTAGCTCATCCAATAACTCATCTACATTAGGAATTGGGAACCTGTCCTTAATAGTCATTTCATTTAACTTCTTGTAATCCACACAGAACCGCCAAGTTCCCTCCTTCTTCTTAACCAACAGCACACGGGAAGCAAAAGGGTTGTTACTGTACTTGACTACCCCTGTTTGAAGCATTTCTGTCACCTGCCTTTCTAGTTCCTCCTTATAACAGTGAGGGTACCTGTAAGGCTTCAATTTGAAGGGTTGTGCCTCTGGTTTGAGAGGAATTTCATGATATACACTTCTGCTAGGAGGTAAAGATTTTGGTTTCTGAAATACATCATCATATTCCTGCAGTAGTTTTCCTACTTCTTGTGGTATAGTTTCTGCCCCCTCTTCTGTATTACTTTTACATTTCAATGCCATGCACATTTGCCTCTTATACTCAATAAATGTCCTCAAATCCTTCCCTTTGATCAGTCCTCAAATCCTTCCCTTTGATCAGATCCATATCACAGTCCTCTGCCTGTCCATGCAAGTGAACTTCATTTCCCTGATTATGCAGTGATATCCTGAGTTGTTGAAAGTCAAATGTGATAGGACTGAAGTGTGTCATCCAGTCTACTCCCAATATTATATCCCATCCCCCTATCTCCATCACCTTTAAATCGAATCTGAAACTATGTTGATTAATCTTCTAGTGCATATTAGGACAGAGAGCATTGCTAGATACACTGGTTCCATTTCCCATGATGACAAAGAATGGCTGGTCCACCCATCTGTAGTCAATATCCATTCCAATAACCATTTCACTGTTGATATAACTATCTGAGCTCCCAGTGTCTACTAGTATAAAAACTTTTTCACCATCTAGGATGCCTTTCAATGTAATTGTCTTCCTTTTCAATGATTCAGACAAGGCATGCAGGGACAGTTCCATGGTTTGACCAGGATTTCCTGTCTACTCATCCTGCTCTCCTAATGCATCTTCAAACACATCATCTTCTTCATCATCTAGTATCATGCAGTTTACATGTCCCAACCTACATTGGTGACCTATGGTGTATTTCTCCCCACACTTGAAGCACAGTCCTTTACTTCTTCTGTATTGCAGCTCTTGTTCTAAGATCTTCTTGAATTCTCTAGTGTTCTCCTGCAGTTTGGTGTTGAACCTAGGATTTTTTTGGGTATTATTGACAGGAACCTTATAAGTGTTGCTGCCTACAGCTGATGTATTCACCCTTATCATTCCAAATCGATTTTCCACTAGCTGTTTGGAGCTCTCCCTAGAATTTTTACTCTGTATTTTGAGTGAGTACTCTTGCCACTGAGATAACTCAAAAGCTTCAGTTAAAGTAGCAGGTTTCAACATTCTAATCATAGGTTTGATTTCCTCTTTCAAGCCAGTGATGAAGCTAGAAATAAAGTAGTTTTCATCCAGATTTCGATTCTTAGTAAACATCAATGGTTTCAATTCCTCAAATCTTTCCTGATATTCTTCCACACTGCCCTCTTGATGTAGTTTATTAAATTCTTCCACGACATCCTTGCAAATGCTGTCAGTGAACCTTTTGCATAGCAGATCTCCAAATTCTGTCCAACCTAATCCAGGTTTCTCAATTTTTCCCCCCTGGAACCACTTATCAGCTTTGCCTTCTAAGTACATCTCTATTACTTCAACCTTCTGGTTTTCCGGAATTTGATAGTTCATAAAGTATTTATCACATTTGCGCAACCACTCCCTAGGATTTTCTCCAGTAAACAGCTCCAAATCTATCTTAGGTGGATTTGGAAGCTGATACTTACCCCAATCTCTTCTGAAATGCTGTTTCCTTCATGTTGTAGTCTCTGATGAGCTGGAGGTGTAGGTAGGATTGGCGACTGATCCACCACAACTCTTCCTTCTTTGTCCGCGATCTTGTCCTGTGCAGAAGTCATTTTGGATAGAAGTGCGTTGAACTTCTGATCCAAGGATTTGTTGAAATTCTGCTCCATTCCTGTCAACAGATTCTCCATTCGCTTATTATTCTCTTCCAGTTCTTTCTTTAGGTTGTTCTTCAGTTGTTGTTGTTCGGATTGATGTGATAGCAAGGATTCCATCAGCTCTTGAAGCTTGCCTTCTTGCCGTTTCACTTGTTCTTCCAGAGTTCTGAATCTAGTGCCTTCCGCCATGGATTCGTTCGCACTCCAAGGATCTAAAGCTCTGATTACTAATTGTTAAGAACTGAAGTGATCAATCATGCAATGGCAGTGATTAATCATTCAATTGGAAAGGATTAAGAAATAAGAAGAAGTAAGAAAGAGAGAGAGAGAGAGAGAGGCATTGGTCAACAATATTCTCTACAAAACCAAATGAAGAGATAACGTTGTGAAACTTAATATACCATTTACGGGAAGCCTGTTTTAGTCCATATATAGATTTCTTTAACTTACAAACAAGTTGGTTGTTATCATTATTGACAAAACCCTTAGGTTGACACATGTATACCTCTTATTCAAGATTCCCATTAAGAAATGCCGTTTTCACATCCATTTGATGTAGCTCCAAATCAAAGTGGGTTACTATTGCCATGATAACACGCAATGAATCCTTCTTTGAAATAGGAGAGAAGGTTTCATGGTAGTCAATGCCTTCCTTCTGAGTAAAACCTTTGGCTACAGTCTAACTTTATATCGTTCGATATTACCCATTGAATCTCTTTTGGTTTTGAAAACCCATTTGCAACCCACAATAGAGACCTTTTTGGGTAATTCAACGAGATCCCAGACTTTATTTTTAGCCATTGATTCCATTTCTTCTTTCATGGCATTATACCAAGATGTGGAGTTTTCTCCATTCATGGCTTGTGAAAATGAATTAGGGTCATCCTTAAGTCCAACATCACAGTCAGACTCTTGGAGATATACTTCATAATCACTAGAAATTGCTGCCTTCTAATTCTTGTAGATCTTCTAACTCCACTGTTTCATGGGAAGTTTGATTAGTGGGATCAACTATTGTTGATTGTTCTTGTTGTGTAGCTCAAGTGGAGGTTGCTCAATTGGTTGCTCTTCAATATTTTGAATAACAACTAGATCATGTAAGTTGGCACAAGTGCATCCTTTACTTCTTCAAATTCCACTTTTGAGAACCACTCCCACTGATTTCATGCTCCTCAAGAAATTTAGCATTTCTAGCTTCAACAATATTTGGAGTGTGTGAAGGACAGTAAAATCTAAACCCTTTGGAGTTAATAGCATAGCCTATGAAGAAGCCACTAATTGTACGTTCATCCAATTTCTTAGTGTGTGAAGGACAGTAAAATCTAAACCCTTTGGAGTTAACAGCATAGCCTATGAAGAAGCCACTAACTGTACGTTCATCCAATTTCTTAATGTGTGGGTTATATACCCTCACTTCAACTGGACAACCCCATACGTGTAAATGTTTTAAACTAGGTTTCCATCCATTCCAAATCTCAAAAGGCGTCTTGGGACAGCCTTGGATGGTACCCTATTCAAAATATACACAGCTGTTTTTAAAGTTTCACTCCATAAGGATAAAGGTAAACTGGTACGGCTAATCATGCTTCTAACCATGTCCATGAGAGTTCTATTTCTCCTTTCGGCTACACCATTTTGTTGTGGTGCCAGGCATTGTATATTGAGCAACAATACCTTCTTCTTGGAGAAACTTAGCAAATGGACCATATGCCTGTCCTTTATCTGTGTGCCTTCCATAATATTCGCCACCCCTATCTGATCTCACAATTTTGATTTTCTTTTCCTTTTGTTTCTCTACCTCTAATTTGAAAATTTTAAAAGCATCAAGTGCTTCTGATTTATCAAACAAGAGATAGAGATACATAAATCTTGAATAATCATCTATAAATGAGATAAAATATCTCTGACCATTCAAGCAAGGGGTAGGAAAAGGTCCACAGATATCTGTGTGTATAATCTCAAGTAATTGAGAACTTCTTTTGGCACCTTTTGAGGTCTTGTTAGTCTGCTTACCCTTTATGCAGCCTACACAAGTACCAAAGTCAGTGAAATCTAAAGTCTGTAAGACTCCATCATTCACCAACCTTTTGATTCTATCAATGGAGATATGTCCCAATCTCCTATGCCAAAGTTTTAGAGAGTTCTCATTGATAATACTGCGTTTAGTACCAGTACCATGCACAGTTAAAAGGCTATATTCATATGTGGGGTCTAACTCAAGTTTAAATAACATTCCATCCAAATTGGCAGAACCAATAATTTTATTATTTTTTAAAAGATTCATAGTTGAAAGATGAGAATTGGAATCATATCCAATAATAGATAGTCTAGAAAGAGAAATCAAATTTCTAGAAAAGGATGGAACATAAAAAGTATTTTCAAGATCTAATTGAAAACCGGTCTTTAAAATGAGTCTATAGGTCCCCACGCCTTCAACAGATGAACGTCCGATTTCCAGAATAGATGCTTTGTTCACTTCCCAATGGCTTCCTTAGGTTCAGAAAGCCCTGCATGGTTTTGGAAATGTGAATTGTAGAACCACAATCAATCCACCAAGCATTATCAGAAACTTCAGTAAAGTTAGATTCATAACACACAAAGGTGAGATTACCTTTCTTTTCGAGCCATTTCTTGTACTTGAGGCAATCTTTCTTCCAGTCCTTTCTTTTTGCAAAAACGGCATTTGTCTTTATTGCCATTTTTTCATAAGAACACTCTTGCCTTTTCCTTTCTTTGTGTTTCCTTTACCATGAGTCACTAGATGAACACTTTCTGGTGTCTCATGTTTCAATCTCTCCTCCTCTTGAACACACATGGTCAATAGTTCATTAATTGACCATTCTTCTTTATGTGTGTTATAAGAGATCTTAAACGGAGTATATTCCGACGGAAGAGAGTTGAGAATGAAATGTACAAGAAATGATTCAGAAATCTCAACTTTAAGGGACTTTAATTTAGCCGCAATATCCCTCATTTCCATAATGTGCTCACGCACACTCCTACTTTTGTCAAGTGTCATGCTTGCAAGTTTCTTCATAAGGGTGCTAGCCAAAGCCTTGTCAGAGCTTACAAATTGTTCATCAATTGCTTTCATGTAAGCTTTGACTCGGTCACAATCAGGAATTGAACCCCTAATGCTTTGACTGATATGCGACTTAATGAGCATCAAACTTAGGCGATTAGATCGCTCCCACCGCTCATAAGCAGCCTTTTCATTTGGCAAACTAGAATCCGTGAAAATGGGTGGTTCATTCTCACGAAGGCCAAATCAAGATCCATGCACCCCAAAGTTAGAAGAATCTTGTCCTTCCATTCAGTGTAGTTTTCACCGGATAGCATTGGAATACGAGATGAATCATTAAAAAGAGTAGTGGTAGAAAAAACTGCAATATCCAAGAATAAACATACATTATTGCTATGAAATTTAAGACATAAAGATTGAATTAACCAATGTTAATTCAAATAATAAATTCAAACCTTCCTGTGGGTAAGGTGCCAAACACGCATTGAATTACTTTCTTTATAATAAGACTGGTAAATTAAAACTATTAACAAAATAAGTAAATTTCCATACCTGTGGGTCTAGGAAAATCTCTTAGCACAATTGTTAAATTTACCATCTTATTTCAACTAATTCTATTAAAACTATCACTTTCCTGTGGGCCAAGTGATAATTTTAATAAATTAATTGTTTACTTAATTAGATGTTATTCAAGTAATCACAAACATTTATGTGATTAAAATTCTAAACATCAAGCATATAAGATGTTGTGGCTACTCTTAAATACAAGATGCAAAATCTTTATGATAACATCTATAAAGGTGACAAAATGAAAGGTTGATAAATGTCACAAATTATAGTTTAAAATAATTAGGTGAAACAAGCAACTTGCTATGCCAATTATTAACCAATAATTTCAAGAGGCATGGAGTTATTTAAATAGAACTCATAAAGAGCCTCAAAAGCAAAGTTCAACCTTCATTTAGCATACATGATGCAAAGTCAAAAGGCATAAGTATACTAATCATTAATTCATGCAAGATAAAATTAGTTATGTTGTTATATTACAAGCATAACCAAATGAAAATTAATTGTCACATACTTGCATGATAAATAAATCATCACAAGGATGATACATAGACATGGAATTAGCCATTAATTCTCAATAATTGAGATAATGGATACATAGATCCCATGACAAATTGAATTTGATTCATTCAATATTAAATGAATCTATATATACTTTTCTCAGATTGCCAACAAACCATGAAGTTATATATTAAACAACATGGCTAGAGGTGGTTCTGATACCACATGTTAATTCAAATAAGTACAAATAACTTGTACTACGCAGCGGAAATTTAAATGACTTACCTCCAACTATTGTTGTTGAACAGAGATTGATCTTTGCAACTCCTTGTCTTCTTACTTTGTTCTTGTCTGTGTAGACAAAGAGACTATGTAGATTGTAGAAGAAGAGAAAAGTAGAAGGAGAATTTAGAGTAGGGATCTTCTAGCCTATGCCTAACCAAAAAAGTGTATAATTGATGGAATACCACAGGCTATTTAAGGCTAGGCTAGGGACCCTTACTGGCAAGCTAGGCTAGGGACCCTTACTGGCAAATACAAAAATCTCTAGGGTTTCCTTCCATCAAGGAACTCTTGCCAAAATCCATAATTGAAATTAATATTTTCTGACTAATTGATTGATTTGATTGATTAACTAATTGAATAAAATATCAATTAATAATAGATATCAATCAATCACTAACAAATGGAATATACTAATTATTATTGACAAGATGTCAATCAATTAATTAGGATACCAATCACCAATCATTGCCTAATGGGAGATACCAATTAATTGTCAATCAATTAATTAGAATATCAATCAATCATGTGGGTCATAATTTGCCTCTAAAGGAGGTAAGTCTTACCGTGTGTTGACAACAGTATAACGGAAGGAAGAACGGCCATTAGCAATATCAAGTACCCCAGCTCAACCACCCTGTATGACTAGGACTGCAGAAAAACCAATCAACTCATGAGCTCTTCCCAGCTCAACTTAACTATTGGTGAGAAAGCTCAAGCTGCTTAAACAGGCTAATGAATTGAGTCTTTGATGATCGGCTCATGAAATTAAGCCACATTTGCTCCTTTCCTAAACATCGAGCTTCACTATCCTGTTGAGCTAATTCAAGCCAAACTTGAGTTGCTCAAAAATGTGACAAGTCAAGCCAAACTTGACCTCTTCGAGTTTGGCAAAATTCGAGTAGACCTGATCTCAGTTTGGGATTGGATTCCAGACAATTGCAGACCTAAGCATGTCACTTGGGTGATATTTATAAAGGACGCAATGTTTTATTGGAGTCAAAGTTGACAAAAACCAAGAAAGTGAGTATTAGAACAACGTATCCAAATTAAAAAGTGAAATATTGTGTGACCCCTTCCTCTTATATGTAGTGTATTACACCTCCAGCAGAAACTGCTGATTCAAACTAATGGAAATATACAAGCATCAATCCTTTGAAGAAAGTTTGCTTCACTTTTAGTATCTCTTGCTCAAATGATTAGATAGCTCATCCATGAAACTAATAGAAGATATATATAAGCATCTATAATTGGATAGTATCTAGTTTTGCATTTTGTTTCATATGGTTATCCATGTGAAAAGCAGAATTACTGCTTTAAGTCATAGAATGATGAAAATCGACTAGACTTTTTACCAAGGAACTAAAACCATGATAGTGATTTCAAACTGCCACCTTTACTTCAAAGGTTATGTGAGACGTACTGACTATGGTTTGGTTGCTGAAAACGGCAAGTTCATTAAGAGTAAAACAGACCATGTAGTGATTTTCTTTTGCAAGCGTTTGGCTGGCATATAACATGCAGAAAAAGTTTAGGCCTTCTAAAACAACCACAGAGATAACGAATCATCGTTTTTGAGTCAGACCTTCTAATTAAGTCAAGGGATTTCAAATTGTTTGTTTACATTGACAAACTCAGCTATCTCAAGGATCAATGAGCCAAATCGGGGACCTTAGTTTACAACATTACATCAGTTATGGGACACATACTTAACATTGCATTTTTTGAAAATTAATGAGTATTCTGGTATGCTTCAGGAACATCTGTAGTTAAACGCACATTTGAAGATGAAACGTTACCTCTTTAATGAGTTGCTTCATTGATTGCTTTTGCTTCAGCTTCATATGACTCTGAACTTACTTTTCTCAACTCATTTCTGAAGAAAAGCATGTTGTGAAGCACTTAGACAACAAAATCTGCCATTTCCACTGACAGAAAAATAATAGCGTCTGTAATCAGATTGATATTACTTTATTTGGTTTACTTAGCAATGCATCAACGGTTAGACCGTTGAGGTTTGCAGAAAATAATAAACTCATGTTTTGTTACTTTTGTACAAGGTTTCCAACTTCTCATATAAAGAATCCCTGGAATCCATCATGACTGACAAAGGGTCAAGTAGATAAGTTGTTTAGGATCAAATGCAGTTGCAACGCTGGTAAGACTACCTTTGGCTCAAGAGAAATACCTATACTTGGATACTTTGAAATGAAAATTTTTATTCAGTTCCTAGTCATTTGTAATTTTTCTTTTAAAATACATGCACATGTCTAATCTAGCAATTCAATATCAGTGTTCACCCACAAAAGAAAAAACAGATAGAGAGAGAGAGAGAGAGAGAGAGATGTAATGAATCTTTTTATTTAAAAAGAAAAAAAGAAAAAGTCTATCAACACTTGAATCTGTCTTCATTTTCTGATTCGTGTCCATCTTCATAAGTTACAGCTTGAAACAGAAACAGAAATGCACCTCAAAGGGGAAAGCAGGTAAATCCAAGAATAAATGAGACAATCAGCAGACATCTGGCATCCATAAGGCAGCTTGAGAAAACTGCTCTTTTTTGTGATGGATGAGCATTTTCTTTTCACAACATGGAAGACGATGAATAAATTGCCTTGATTCTGACCACTGAAAAAAAAAAGAATGAATGATAAGGAGGAGGAAAGAATGTATGGAAAGGAAAATGTAAAGAGCAATTGAAGGAAGAGTCAGGATTTGGCAGTAATATAGTAGCATTTTTAAGGAAGCAGTAGTGTTTTTTATTTCCTTGTTCCTTCCCCAGAAAAAAACAAGAGTAATAGAATTATAAACAAACCGAATAAGTAGATTAAAACATTGGAAATATTAACGACTTACAGGTTGGGGGGAGGGGTTTGTTTCCCGAACGCGAAACGGGTCAAACTTTGTTGAACGGATAGATACCAATATCGGGAATATGTGCAATTTTGAGCCACTCTGCGCCACTTCTTTTGGTGCATCTCTCTGCTAAAAGAGGACAGTAGTGGATAACTAGTCGATTTAAATTGGTGAGGTGTCGTATTGCTTCTGCAGAGGGTAATTGTCTGAGGTTAGAGCAGTGAGCAATCCACAATCCTCGGAGATTCCGAAGGCTACCTATCCACTCTGGAAGAACTTCCAACCCCTCAAACTCCCGTATCTTTAAGGTTCTCAAGGTAGAGAGATGCTGAATTTGGTCTGGGAGAGACGAGATTTTTGGCCATCCACGCAATTCAAGACGCTCCAGAGAGACGAGATGTTGTTTTGCAGAATCAGCATCATTCTTGGCACCGCTGGCAACGTTGGTGATGGAGTCTGGCCACGGGAAATGATCAAGGTCATCAGAGAAACCACCGAGGTCCAACTTGTGGAGGTTGGCTAGATGGTGTAGACCCTTTGCCCAACAACCAGGGCCATGAGAACGGATCCACAACCACTCAAGCGATGTGAACTTCTCAAGATTATTACTCAATGAAGGATTCAAGTTATCACATCCTAAGATGGTTAGAGTACGTAGGGATTGGGGGTTTTTCATGTCCAGAGAAGCATCTAAAGCAGGGCAGTCTGCTACGGCTAAGGATTCAAGAGATGTAAGGCTATTCAAATTCCTTATACAAGACAAACTTCCGCAATCCCATAAGTGTAAGGATTTAAGAGATGTCAAGTTCTCCATATCCGGTAAAACTGCCAACTTGGGGAGCCTTTGGATTCTCAAGTCCCGGAGATTAGGGAATACCTTAATTGATGAAGAAGAATCCGAGGGAACCATTGCATCTGACCACTCCTCTAGACTTCCCATGCCCTCCAACTCAAAACGCCATAGTTTCGGAAACAGAGTGATTGGTTTCACCGCTCTGCTACTGCTACTGCTACTACAACTGCTGCTCCTTGCATTAATATCGAGATGTTCAAGACCATAGAATTCAGCCCCAATGCACTTCACATTGTGTAAGGAGAACATCGCTAAGGACTCGAGACAAGGCAAGTCCCCTAGTGGTGGTACTTGTTCACACTTACCCAATTTCTCCAACCTGAGGCGTACCAGATTCCGAAGTATCAAATGATCCTTTGCCACCATCCACGACGGAAACCTTGAACCTTTGAAACCGTTAATGGCTAAACTTTTCAAGTTTGGGTGAGGTTGAAGACCTTCCATGACAGTATTGATATTGTTGTCGTCACAATCTTCGCTCCTGTCATTCCATGAAAGTCTTAAACCTTGAATGCTTGATTTTTCGGACAACTTTGCTTTTGCTGCTGATTCAAAGCTGCTCACATTCTCAAGTCCAAATATTTCTAACTTGTCTCGGAGGTTGCGCAAGTGTTCCAACTCCTCAAGTTGACATCCCTTGTCTTGGCTTACCACGAAATGGGGCAATGTCCGAAGATTAGCCAGCTGCCCAATTCCCGGGAACAAACATCGGGTCTGCAAATGAAACTCGGAAAACTCGAGATGCCTCAAGTTAATTAAATTGCTAAACTTCTTAGGTATCTCTGTCAAGTAAACTACTTTCAAGGTCATCAAATTGTAGAGCTTTGTGATGGAATCTGGCAGAGTGATGATACGAGTTTTACTGATATCAAGATATCTTAAATGTTTCATATTACCAACTGCATTCGGGAGATGAGTAGCATCCCAGCAATCTACTATTAACACACAAAGATATCTAGATGTTTCCAAGATGTCTTCGAACAAAATACCATGACCCACAAGATAAAGCGTTTGCAAATTTGGAGGTATCCCTTTGATATTCTTTAACACCATCCCTCGACTCAGAATGATGGTCAAATGCAATACTTCATCATCATGACTGACTACCATGCCATCCTCTGTATTTAAGAGACAATTATTTGACACTTGCAATGAAAGATCATGCACAAGGTCGTGCATCCGGCAGCGTTTGATTCCGTTAATGGAATTCTCAGAAGTATCTTGCAACAAAGAACTCCGAAGCAATATGTTGAAATAGTCACTGCCTACATCCTCCATTTGCAAATGACCTCCCTTGGCATCATTAATCAATCCCTGGGCCATCCAAATCCGTATCAAGCTTTGTTTTTCCATGTCAGTGTCCTTTGGGAAAATGGAACAATTTGCAAAGCATTGTTTCACTGACAATGAAGGTAAGTTTTCTCAACTCAGCATCAGGACAGAAATGACTCCACCTTCATTATTGGCCGACTCATTCCATATTTCACTCTTCTCAAGCTTCAACCATTCCGAGGCATCCTTTTTGGAATACAACAAACCCCCAATCACTTTGATCGCTAATGGCACACCGCCACACTTTTTCAGTATCCTTCTGCCAATGTCCACCAGATCTTGAGTCTTTCTTGCACCACCATCTGCAAAAGCTAGTTTTTCAAACAACATCCAGCTATGATCATCTGAGAGGATGTCTAGATGATGCAAACCAGATGTTTGCATTGCTGAGGCTACCTCATCACTACGTGTGGTAACCAATATTTTGCTTCCTGAAGCACCCCCTATTGCCAACAAACGTCTCCTCATGCCATCCCATTTCTGTCGATTCTCGTTCCAAATATCATCAAGCACAAGCAAGTAACGTTTTCCTTTCAGATTATCTTGAAGCTCCTTCACCAATGTTTCCCTGTTTGTTGTGTCAGCACTTTTTCCCTTAAGGGATTGTAGCATCTCATTCAACAGCCTTTCCACTTTGAAATCATCAGACACACAAACCCATATTGTTTCATCAAAATGTTTCACTACACTGTCATTTTTTTAGCACCAGCTGTGCAAGGGTTGTTTTACCCTGGCCACCCATCCCAACTATTGAGATGACAGGTAAATCCTTCTTATAGTCTGAGCTAATTAACATGCTTACAACTTGAGATACCTCAACTTCCCTTCCCACCATTTCTGACTCTTCCACAAAAGGATCAGTCCACCGATCCTCTTTGTGATCAGCAGATGTCATGGGTAGTTGAACTGGATGAAGCCCTATTTGATTTGCACGTCTGTACGCTTCCTCTAGAGATGCGCTAGCATTCTTGATCTTGTTAGCCATCTCTAGACGAAAGGAAATAGGATTTGAGGAAGAAAAGAAGTTGCGTACCTTGTCGCGCTTCCGATTCTCAACCTTCTGCCGCAGAACTTCATATCCGAAGTCATCTAACACGATCTCCGCATCACGTGCTATGGACTGGAGCCTTTTCAGCCAAAGCTGCACGGCTTTGCTTGTTGATTGCTTGCCTTCAGCATCAAGAATCAAAGCTTCCATCATCTGTACTTCCTCAGCAAGCTTCTCAAGGTCTTTCTTGACACCCCATACCCGGCTGACCTCGTCGGCAGCTAGTGAAAGTATCTTATTCAAGATTACACTAACAAAACTGAGTACAGCTTCAGGCATCTTCTGTGAAACTCTTAACAGATGAAGGTAAAATGCTTTGGTTGAATAGTTGGACTATTTTTTGCAGCAAGAGATGCTCAACATTCAACAGCTAGAGTTACAAAGCAATGAATCCATTACCTATCTTTTATTTTTTTTTCCAAAACGAAATTTCCTAGACTCCACTGAAAGAATTATTATAATCTAGCAGTATATTTTTTTGTTTTTTCCCTTCGCTTTTGGTAGGGACTTCACATGTTAAAGCAAAAATAGTGCTTATGATAACAATAATTAGCATAGTATAAAAGTCTCGGATGCAATGTGGTAACTTAAAGAAGGAATGGGTGAGACTTCCAGACTAAAGGCATGAAAAATTAAAGAAAAGGGATGAAAAGTTTCGCCCACCATTGAAATTTCAACCTCATAATGGTCAATAACTATTATTAAGTGTGTCCAAACCTGGGCTCCAGTTATCAGAGAAGATAATGCACTATATGCAAATGCCTAACCATACGTCCAAATTGTCGTCTCCACCAATACATCATCCATGAATATTGTATTGTAATAATGTAGAGGGCCTGGAAATCGAATTTTTCCCATCTACTGAATTGATGAAAATAATTCAGCTTGATGAGAGAATCAAGAAAAGAACAAGAATGTAAATTCCCGTGGACGCATCACAACAGCGTTGGTTGTATAATTTGACAATGCCAATATCTAAAGACCCTTTGACTAAAAATGGCAATTAACGAATGTTAAACAACACAGTCAACTGAATGTTGCAAATACAATATACACAATACACGATGAATAATTCAAATAATCAGATTACAAGAGTTTATATAACGACTGTGAACTTGTTGGCAGACACTATGAGCCGGAGATGTTATGATTTTTCTTGCATTACATGCAAATATTATCACATACAAGAAGCTAGTGTTGAACAGAGAACCAAGAGTTTGTCTCGATCCAATTGAAAGCTGTAGGGCTCAAGAACGCATCAGGAATGCCAAAGGAGCTGACCAACGAAAGTGCATGTGGTCTCAGTTCCCGGCAAAGCTTTGCAACTTCTTTTCTCACTGCTGCAGCATTGTCTGCTGACAGGTAGCCATATCGGAGAAATGCAGTCTTCGTCCAGGGTAACCAGGGCATACATGGATCTCAAAAAACCTGATATGCTCTGACAGGAAGATCCACAATCGATTAGCCATGCACTGTAAGAAGATATTTAGCCAACGGATGTTGTTCATCTTATTTGTCAACATTCAATTATCAACTAGATGCAGAAAATCGTATGGAAATTTCCATCCGCAACACAACATGAGCTCAAGATAAGTTCCACAAATATGGAATTAGGTCTATTCATGGACTACAAGTATCAAAACATTCTATTTCTTAAAACGTACACATAAATCGCAAGAGTCTAATGCTCCAAATAACATTCTACATTAGCAATCCTACCAGCATTGAGACCGGAGTTTGCAATTTTGTGATATAAAATCATAGAATTGTAATGATAGGATTGAAAATTTAACACTTGCGGTGCTAAATAAACTGAAAACCAGAAACTATCCTTAATTTTTAAGTTTATGGAAGAAGATATTACTGAATTTCCCACTAGAAGGTAGATGTTTTTTTGTAAGAGAGAGAGTTTCAACTTTGTCTTTTAAGCATCAATTAGCATGCTCTAAAAATACTTCTAAGTGCTTACAGAAGATTAACGGATCAAGAGAATTAACCCAGATGTCAAGAAAAAAGTGCATCCAGTGAGTTACAGCTAAAGTCCCACATAAAAAAATTACAACAATCAACTTCCGTTTTTTGGGAAAGATTTATTGATCTATGGACAAACAACATATTTGCTAACTATAGACAGGTTGACGCTTACAGTATGTTACAATGAGGCCAGGAGGCCAGGATATGGCATGCTGCCACAGTCAATTTGGCCTCAAGCAGAATTATGAGTTTTGCATTTTTTTTTTTGGGAAACAGGTTGATGTTCATACCGTGAAAGACAACACTATTTATATCATCCGTAGGATCAACATCCGTAAGGTCAATCCATGTCGCGTAAACCATAATCAGAGAAAACAAGCAAAGTTGAATAATGTTTTAATATTTAAAGACAGCCGTAGTTATTTTTTGCAAGGGAAGGATATAAAATTCACCCACATTTTGGACGTCTTTGAGTATAGGCCTAATCAAGGAATTTCGTTTCCGTCCACTACTGGCGTCCTTTGAAATCCATTATCATTTCTAACCTATCGCAAACTCTTTCTCCAAAGCAATTCATTCCTGGGTAAATTCTTAGTTTGTGATGGAAAAAAAAAGAATTCTACAACAAGGGCGTTTCCTGGAGGAGTTTCTGTAAATGGGGGTCTTCGCATTTTCAGAATGCGAGCTCAGTGAGCTGGAAATGCGAGCTCCAATTGAGCTCGCATTTTCAGAATGCGAGCTCACTGAGCTCCCACTACCCAGCTCCCACTGTCCATAGACGACTAGAGTTCAACCGCTAGGAATCCAGAAGCATTAAAAGTATATTCAATTCCTACTTGCTGTTGTTAGTGAAGATGTCCCCGGACTGCAGGCCAAATGGAATGCCAGGAAATGGAACCTAACTCAACACTAACAGGGATACAAAATGGAGTCGGGAAGATATTATAAGTCGCGCAGGAGAGTGCATGAGTGACAAGTGTTCGTTTTATTAAGGAGAGATGAATATCAAACACTACTGCATGCATGCCACTTGTGTCCCCTTTGCCCTTTTTGACAAATGAATACATCAGCTCCAATCGCATATTTGCAGCTCTGCAGAGTCATATAGTGTACCCCGGCCTGAACAGAAGTTCCATTCTTTTCTGTGATCGAGAGACTCTGTAGTTTTTTTGTTGCTTTTTCTCCTACCTCTCTTTCGTGTGTACTTAATAACATCAATTATAATAATGCGTCTCCAGATTCCCGACTCCATACACTGGTAGTGTGTACATAGAACCGGGGGTTGGAACGCCCGCTGATCTATCATTATACTAAAATGAGCTACATACACCACCCCATTCCATGCTATGAACAGCTTGGGGAAAAGTGAGATTTATTAGTTGAATTGTTAGGAGCCTGGCCTGATTTATTAGTACATGAATTAGCCAGCTAGGGAGCTATGTGTATACGGTTCGACAGGAAGAACAATTGAAGTGATGCACGGACAAGAGAGTAATCTCAGAGACAGTCTAGGCTGCTATATCTTACTTAAAAAACAGTAGTTGAAGACTAAAACTGTGGGACATATAGATACTATTACTGTATATGCGGATGCAAATGAACATTGACGGCACCCCATGGGAATGGGATACGACCAAACTTGCTTCATTGTCCTTTCAATTTCAGAATCAAAGATGCTTCCTTAATCCTTCTTCTTGTTTGTCGTGTGCAATATAAAAGAAAAACCCAAAACCATATCTAGTTATATAGTATATAAAATGCAACAAAAATGTAGATAAAAAAAAAGAAAAAAAATTTGCATCTCTGTAATGCGAGCTCTGTTGAGCTCGCATTTCAGGAATGCGAGCTCTCAACAGAGCTCGCATTCGTGAAATGCGAACTCTCCTGAGCTCGCATTTCACGAATGCGAAGACCCCCGACAGAATTCCTCGCCACAATCACCCCTTTTGTTGAATTTTTTTAAAATTCATCACAAACTTAGAAATTTCTCATTCATTCCTTCACAATCACGACTGAGTCACCCACTCACTCCTCTCTCAATTGTGAAGAAGAGAAGTCGAGCGCCAACGGTCTCTACACTCGTATTTCTTTATCATGCACTCGATGAAATTTACTACTACTCTTTAGTCGTCTCAGCTTAGAGAATGGTAATTCCTCATTATTCTCATGGTGTCTTTTTTCTTCCCCGAATTTGGTGATTGGGGTGTCTCTAATCAACCAATTTCTGTCGACAATTGATGTTTGTTTGTTCACGACAGCATCGTATTTGAAGTGCTTCTTCTTGATTGTAATTTTTGAGCTACAAGTGAGATTTTTGGTGATTAGGCTTTCCTTGTCCTTTTTTTTTTTTTTCAAAATTTGTGCTTTCTCTTCGAGATTTTATGATTTGTTGTTTTGAATCATTTATGTGTGCTTGATTTACCTTTTACTTGTGTAATTTGTTTTCTCATTCTTTATCCTTTTCTTTTTCCTTTTTTTGACTGAAATTAGCTTTTAAGCCTTGAGTTTTAGCTAAACTTCTTCAGTGATTGTGCTACTGGGCAGCATCAATCGAAATTGATATGGTGTAATGTGATTCCCTTGTAATTAAACTTGGGAGGGCCGGGAAATTATTTTCCTGTGACAGGGGACGTGAACTCCTAACATTATAGTTGATTTATTCTGCTTAAAATATCAAATTTCAATTATTGAATATATGTCAAAAGCAGCTCCGTTTCAATTAGCTGTTTTTTGGAGTGTTTTTAAAAAATTTTACTGTAACAATGCACATGAAAATTTTTACTATAAAAGTTTTTTGAAATATTTGATATATTATGTGGATGAGATGTTTTATCAGTTATTGTGTATTATTATAACATTGTATTTAAAAACTTGTTTTTGAAAAAATGACCAATACAAACGGATCTTTGGAGATGAACTACTTGGGATGAATGAGTATGTTTTCTAAAAAATGAAGAACAAATTATTGATACTAGTAATCTTGAAGTCTATCTATTTCTTGCAAACTGATCCCAACTTATGCTCAAACTTTAGAATTTGAATCTCAGTTCTTGATAGGTTGATGTTGAATCTAGGTTAAACTATAATTCTTTCTTGCTAGGAATTTGAATGTGAGTAAGAACTTGATTTTTATGAGCTTCTAGCAATGTCACGTGTTTTTCAAAACATCATCTCTTGCTTCCCTCGCATGTAAGACAAGGGACTTGCTAAAACAGGAAAAGTTTGAGCTTTTTTTTACTATTTTTTTACAGTATTCTTATAGTATTTTTTACAATACATCAAATCACGATAATATTTTTTTTACG